GCTGTCGACCGGCTTACGTCACTTCTTAGTACACACTGTCGGTGCGAATGCAACCCTTTAAATGGTACTGGGAAATAGCTCGCGCAAAATCGTCCCAGTACTTTAGTACTGTACATTTAGTTCTGGAACTGAAGCGGTGCGAAAGGCCCTAATGTTTAATGTAGATCTCAGAGTGTTTTCTGTAAGTAATGGGATAAAGCAGGGAGATCTACAAGTGCAACACATTTGTCGGAACTTCTGCAACAGTGTTGGGAAGAACTTTCTCAAAAATGTTTGACTTCCACTGTAAAAAAAATGACACAAGTATGTTCAGCTCTTTTATCTGAGTACTCTGATGAAAGTAGTTTAGGTAGTTTAAAATTAAGATCCCATGATCTCTTGTATTAATCTTTGTTTATTTGTACTTTGCTATAATTCAGTACAGTAAATGTGCATTAAATGGCATACATTTCAATAAAACCTGGAAAAATGTAGGTGTTTTAAAACTTTAGATTTATATAATAAGCTTTTATAATTGAATAAATTACTCACCACGAACAGAAACAATGAAGGTCTTTTCACTGACTCTGCTGCTGAGGATCTCTAGTGTATAGACTCCAGAGTCTGTGGTGTTGATGTTCATGATGGTGAGAGATCCAGTCTGATGATCCAGCTTCAGTCTGTCTCTGAATCTCTCAGTACCTTCATCACACTGAACATCTGTACAGGTATGACTGTGATCTCCATTGATTTGAGCTATACGAATGCCATTTAAATACCATCTAATTCTGTCTTGCTGGTTTGCTTTAACATCAGTGTGTAGAGTGACTGAATCTCCCTCCATCACAGACACTGGCACTATATCTGTATCAACACCAAGAGAGCCTGCAAGAAAGACACAGATTATCTTAGATCACATCTGCGACAGCGGGACAAAAACACACAGCAGGAAAGTGATGTGAAAATATTTTTCTTCAGATCATAAAGATTGTAAATAGAGAAATCTGTCTGGATTTATAATGTAGCACATGCAAACAAACAGCAGAAGATCATTGATTTTCACATTCACTTATCAATCAGACAAACATCCATGAGTCTCATAAACGATCTTAACTTAAATAACATAACCCACATCTATATATATATTTATATATATATATATATATATATATATTCCTGTACTCATGCATATATTTGTGAATTCATAGGCTAAAACCAAATAGGGATCACTGCATATCTTCGTAGACCAGTAATGAATCTATACTGTTATTTTCTACTATATTAGGACTAAAATTATTATATTTTATATATAAAATATATAAAATCTACAGTTTAACTGTAAGTATTAAAGGTTTGCATGCATTAGTTAAACCATTCATCTTAATAGCAAGGCTTATATTAGAGATATTTGAAATTAGATTTTAACTTTCATTCAGACAGAGTTGAAGTGGATTAATGAGTTATAGAGTTATAATAATATATAGAGTCAAGGCTTCAAAGTATGTGCATAATACAGGACTACTTGAAGCTACACACAAAAAAAGGAGATTCAAAACAAGTGAGTGGATTTATATTATATTTATGGCAACGTCACAAAAATGGCCATCTCAGACCCCGGAAACAGGGCTAATAATATAACATTATGTAATATAAATAAATGTCTTACCATGCAGGAGCAAAACATACAGTGTGGAAAAAAATCTGTCCATAATTTTGACCAAAATATGCAAAGAATCTGTCGAATCTTTAAGTCAACCTATTGCTAAAGTGAAAGCGAAAGTAGCCTACAGTGAGAAGTCGGTGTCAAAAACAACAACACACGTAAGCTTGTCTCAGTTTGCTAGTAATGTGACATTCGACACCGAAGCTCCGAAACGAGAGTAAAACAAACACATATACAAACAACAAACACGGCTTGTGTCGTTTTTGCTTCAGCTGCGCCTCGCCTGGGCGACATTTGTCGGTGGCTTGAACGGGCGAATGCGGAACAGGAAGTCGTATTGTGACTGCTTCATAAAAGCTACGTAGTCACACTCCGTTGTGCACTCGATAATAGGCCTAAACTATGGTTTTGGCCACCTCTTAAAATTGCTGTCCCCTCAAATATTTCAGTAGATAAGGGAATATGTATGTATGCATGTATTTATTCAATGCCCACGTGAACATTGCCTATGCAATAACAGCTAGGCTACTTGGACATGATTAAAATAGATAGACAGATTACAAAGTGTATTATTAATATGTGTGTATCATGTATTTGATTTATTTTAATGCACCCAAATGACTTAATGACTTAAACCAGTACTTCTCAAACCCACACATTTTGTCATACACTCATTTTGGGTCTTGCAGTCGCTAGGCTAAGTATGAGCTGATGAGTTGAATCAGGTGTGTTTCCAGCAACACAGAACGTTCCTCTAACGTTCTTTTATGGTTGCCATTTGGTTATTTTGAGCAACCATCAAAGAACGTTCTGGGAACCAAAAATCGTTAGCTGGACTAGACGAAAGAGAAATCCAAAATGCGCAGGTTTGAGAAGCACTGACTTAAACAATTAATTTTTTTTTATCTCTAATGCATTTTATAAAAAAAAAAAATGTCAGTAAAAAAAAGAATAAATTGCAACCAGATGTGAAGCCTTTCATCTTCCCTTACGAAAATTAACCATGGTTTTATGACAGTAAAAGTGCAGTAACCATGTTTTTTTGGCGTATTGATTTGTACATTTGTACAACCACAGTTTTATTACAGATACCATGGTTAAACTATGGTTAGTGTAGCAAAACCATGGTCAATTTGTGTTTACCATGGTTCAGCTATAGTAACCATGTTTTTTTTTTTTTTTGGTAAAACCATGGTTAATTTTCATAAGGGTTTTCAACCTAGTAGTTAGACACCTACAAACTAACACACTCACAACAAAAGTGCATGAAATGTTTGTCCATCAACTGATCACACCATCATTGTGAGGAAATCAGCCCGCAACAGGTTTCCATTTGTCTTTCATGTTTCATGTTGAGCTGCTCATATCACACCTTAGTAACACCTACAATGAGAGATGGGAAATAAATGTACCTGTTTATTATTATTATTATTATTATTATTATTCACTACAACTAATTGATTGCAAACCATTTGAAATCCATCATCTTTATTTTACCATGAAATTTAGGAAGATTTATACAATATTGCACTCTTCTTTTACATATTTAATACAGTTAGACAACTACCTTCATTGTTGAATTATAAAAATAATGAGTGTTTTTACTTTTGAGAACATTTAAAGTCTTAATAAGAGCCAGAAGAACATTTATATGTGACTATATAACATGCAGAGCATGTGCGTGTGCATTAGGAGAGTCAAACTCTGTTGTGGGAGGATTCACACGAGTTTTTAGCAGATGGTCTTTTTAGATCAGACACAGAACTGGTACAGAAAATGTTTTACATGCTTCTTTTGTTCTGTTTGTGCTGGAGGCAACTGATTGGTAAGTTATAAAAGCATTTTTACGGCTTCATTTCTTTGTTTCAGAACATCAACTACTGCTGTTCAAATTACGGATTTGCATTTGCTTTTCTTTTCTTTCCGGATCAATCAAATCAAACTGAGGTTTACGTAGCTCATCTGTCTGTTCGTTTATGCAGACTTTAATCTTTTGCGTCTTTGATGCCGTTGATCAATTCACATTTAAATAATGCAAACTGATTTCAGGCTTTCTAAACCAACACGAACCGGGTTCAAAATCTTTTCATGTTCTTTAGGTGTGTCTGGTTCTGAGACAAATGAAATACAGTCAGTGTCAGTGATGGAGGGAGATTCTGTCATTTTAAACACTGTTGTTACTGAAATACATGAAGACGATGACATTCTGTGGCGTTTCAGAGATGAAATGTCTCTGATTGCTAAAATCAATAGACAGACTAAAATCTCCTCCATATTTAATGGTTCTGATGGGAGATTCAGAGACAGACTGAGGCTGGACGATCAAACTGGATCTCTGACCATCACAAACATCACAACTGAACATGCTGGACTCTATGAACTAGAGATTAGTGGAGCAAAACTGTCATCAAAAACATTCAGTGTTTCTGTCTATGGTGAGTAGAGATCATTTGTTCTTCAAATATTCTTATTTTATTTTACTGGAAGCATTTACTTTATAAAATTATGTAAGATATGTGAGATCACAAACACACTCACTAAGTGTTATTATACTAAACATTTACTCAGTGCATTAAACCAAGCATCCACCCCCACCCTTTTATTTCTTTGATTTATCCGTATTCATTTTTATTGTCTCACATTTTCCAGCTCGTCTGCCTGTTCCTGTCATAAGAAGAAACTGTTCTTCATCATCATCATCATCATCATCACAGCAGAATTGTTCATTGTTGTGTTCAGTGGTGAATGTGGGTCATGTGACTCTCTCCTGGTACAAAGGAAACAGTTTATTGTCCAGCATCAGTGTGTCTGATCTCAGCATCAGTCTCTCTCTACCTCTGGAGGTGGAATATCAGGATAAAAACAGCTACAGCTGTGTGCTCAACAATCCCATCAGCAACCAGACTCAACATCTGGACATCACTCAACTCTGTCACACATGTTCAGGTACGGCAGAGCTGATATATGTGCTTATTTACTGACCTGATCTCTGTCTTTTGTTGTACAGCAGACTGTTGCATTCACTTCTTTATGATTACAGCACTGGATGGACACTTTACTTCACAACCAGTCTGTCTGATAGTGTTGATTTCTGCTGCTGGATCTCTGTTGATTGTAGGAGCAGTCGTGATATTCTGCATCTGCAGGAGAAACAGAAAAACTCATCAAGAAGGCAAGTATTATTTACAGTATTTAAGAAAGAACTGTAAGAAGTACAGTTTTGGGGTTTGACATTTTTTGTGAATTACAGTAACATCACAACACAGACAATAGATGGAGACATTAAATGAGTTACATTTTAGTTTTGTTTTTAATGCATATTTTTTTATTGTATTATAGCTGTTGTTATTGATAATGAAGCAGTTCAGACTTGTGATGAAGAGATCACTTACGCTGATCCGACATTCTACAAACGAAATGAACAGAAACTGGTAAGTTAATTTTTTGTGTTGTTGTGCTTTACGATGATCTGACACACACATAATACATATATTGATATAGACTCTAGATTAGTTTTTAGTATATTGCTCTGATGGGTTCGATAGATCAGTGGTAGTACTGGTGGGTTGTGACCACAGAAACGGGATAAATCACACTTCTGCTGTTGTTTACACATTTTTCTGAATCTGAGATATGCAATTATATATTTTTTTATAATTTTTTTATTTATTTAATTAAATTCATTTTACAGATAGCTGCAGAGGAGAATCATGTGGAGTATGCGCCTATCTGCATAAGAAGATGAAACTTCCATCTTTTCCGAAGTAAACAAAGTCACTTTTATTTGGCATATGGATTTTGTATGTGATCTCTGATCTTTAGAAGTTCTAGACAACTGTTCTAGACAAGTTTTGGGATGATTGAGACTCCACACAGACACATTGTCTATCTGAACTTTACACACATTCTGACACAAAAATCTAATAATTTACATACATGATATGGTTCACAGCATTCCCACTGGGAGTACCAGCTCAGTTTGAGAGTGTTGTGATTTTGTTTCACACACATGTTGTTTGATCAGTTTCTTAAACAGTATGTGCATAAGAGTGCCTATTATGTAACACTGGTTGATCTGCATTTGTGAGTGCACGTTAAAGGTGTGAATAGCTTGTGGTTGAAAGGCTTTTTCCACTGCTGCTAACGCAAAACTCACAGTTTCTGTGCAACCATGTGAATGTAAAATGTACAAATATCATGTTTTTTTTTTTGTTTTTGTTTTTTAAGTGAAACATTAAGAGGACTATTAAAAGTAGCCTACATACAATTGTTGGCCTCACTTTTGTATACTTGGTTTTTGAACCTTCTGCGTAAACACAGAAAAGCAAGCGTATGTCTGCCACACTCGTGACTTGTTTAAAAGATTATTCCGCTAAAACTAGCCCAGTTCCGCGGGAAAACCGCTGACTTACTTCAGCAAGCGGGGAAGCGTATCTGCGTTCCTCCAGTTGCTGACTGTTTTACTTTCACTTTGCAGGGTAACGATGAATATTTAAAAGTTACCCTCGTGATGGGCGTGGCCCTTCGATAACGCGCCATTAGATGCCACAAATGGAACTGAAAATATTTTGCACGCTACTTGTGACTTTTTTAATGGATTATTTTAGGGGAAAGAATCAGTGTGGAGCATTTATACACTAGGCTACAACTATTTGTTACAATTAGCCTAGTTGTGTTGTTTGTTTTTCCTCAGAAAATGTGTTTTAAGATCAATAACATGGCTGCTATAAATAAGTAATAGGCTTAAATAAGTTTTTTTTTTAATTATCAAAGGAACGATGCATTTAAAAATTTAGTACATTCTTTGAAAAAAGGCGTTGTGCATTAACATGCATACTGCTCTTAACCACACTTTTACTCCTCAGGGTTTGGGATTTTTTGGAGTCTACTGTTTGAGAGACCGGCGTCCTTTGAAGAGAATAATCTGTGTGCAAGCGCTAGGGGGCGCTCAAAGGGTTCGGGTAAAAATGGATGGGTGTGTTAGGGCAGTGAATCTCAACCATTTGGCGTACCGGACCCCAGTCCAATTCAGAACCATCCTCAAGGACCCCCAGAACAAAATTGACTCGTATCATTTGTGTCTTTGTGAGGATCAAATGCAGTCAAGTATAATTCAAGTTAGCTGACTTGTCCAGTATTTGGCCATATCATCAGCTATATTGGAATTTTCTTTCATGGGGACGTCATGTAAAAATATACAAAATTTATACAAAAATTCATACTTTATACGGACCCCCTGGCCTTATGTCAAGGACCACTAGGGGTCCACGGACCCCTGGTTGAGAAACACTGTAGTAGGGTACCTGTTACAGACGAGATAGTTCCCATGATTTCAAGGATTTATTAAGAACGTTTATTCATGGTATCTGAAGTCTACAATTAAACAGAAATAAAGAAAAAAATTAAGTTCAAGTTTATTTGTATAGCGCTTTTCACGATACAGATCGTTGCAAAGCAACTTTACAGCAAACTAAGTTTCTACAATATTTAGTGGTAGCTAAGTATGTTAATATGAACAATATTAAAAATGTAATGCCACATATAGGCTACACAAGTTATCAGTATAAGGTAGCTAAATGAGACATGCTGCTACTAACATCTTTTTTTGTATTTTTAACAAATAATGCTATAACACAGGGGTAAGAAAACAGAAGGTGCACAAGTGTCATACACACAAACACAAGACACCATCAAGGTAACACGCATGACACTAAAATAATGCAGTAAACATTCATTTAACAACATAAGTTGTATCATAAAACCCTTATGTACATAGCTGTTAAGGAAAAATAAACTGGGAATTCTGGGAACATCACATTATGGATTTTCACTGTAAATTATCAGATGATTGGTCCCACTTTACAATACATAACTTGGTACAATGCACTTATTGTGCATAATCATTTGGTACAATGCACTTATTGTGTCCATACATGTTTTTACATTGTACTTATATTTGAAAAATATCTGTAATTAATTTCAGTAATTACATTCATAATTACACTGTTGACCCATCCCTTACACCTTAACCCACCCTTATTAAACCTTCCCATACCACCAAACCTGTCCCTAACCTTAAAAGCAAAAGTGTTTTGCAATAAGAACACAATAAGTACATTGTACTTATTTTTTGATGTAAGTACATAGTAGTTAACGCCACTTAATATAAAGTGGGACCAGATGATTTGTTCATTTTTAATTCTAAATTGTAAATATTTATGGTAAAATTACAGGAAATGTAAGGTTAGATCTATTACAGTTTACATATTGTGGCGGCCAGAAAGAGGTATGGTCCCCCACAAAGCAGACGGAACACCTTCAGCACCATGGAGAGCCCCATCAGAGGAAGCAACAAGGGCTGGGCCACCCAGTAAGAGGGTTCAGGACTAGGGATAGCTCCAACACAGGTGTTCACATTTTCCCCTCTAACAGGGCGCCTCAGCTGCAGGCTGTTAGGAACAATCAACCACCACCACATAAAAGAGAACCGAGAGGCCTCAGTAGTGTCTCAGCCGGGGAGATGAGCAGATGCTGAATGCTGGATCGCCCTAAACCCAAGCACAGGACAAGTTCTTAAGGACGGAAGCTCAGTGGGGTCGTGAGTAGCCTGAACACTTTTAACTAACCCTCCATCTCTTCTGTCTTCCCTTCAGAGAGATTGATCTGCTGCCCCAAGAACCAACCACCGAAGGAAGAAAGACTTTAGTTACAGTTTTCCCCATCCCCACTCCCTCACCTTATTGAGAAATCAAGAGAATTAAGTTCTGTTCCACCAAATACCTGCCTGGTGCATTATCTATGTGGACAACTTGAGCTAATCTCACCAAATCTTGTGTTCAAGGGCTTACATATGGTGGAGAATACGGGCATGGTGAAGCCTCGCTTGTGATTCAGACCTTGCACTAGGCGGACAAGAAACAACAAGAAAATGGAGGAGGCCCTGACTGCCATTCTGCAGGCCCAAACCACCCTGAGAGCGATGGCCCAGGGCAGACTGGGTGAACCCGTTACTCCCTCTCCTAACTGGGGAAGCACAGAAAGCCTGCCGTGATCTCACTGTTCATGAAGCAACCAATTACGAAGTGGTTAAGAGAGAGCGGTTCTCGCCCAATATGGGCTCAGCCTACCTGCTAAGGCTCAGCGAGTTCATAGCTAGGGATACCAAATGACCCTTCCAGCACGGGCACAGGTAACCACGTTGACTCGGATGGTGAGGAGCTGGCTAGTAGCAGGAGACGGGCCATCTTCAGTAGAAAGGGTGGTGATCGACCATTGCATACGCGGCCTGCCGGCAGATATGTGGCTCAACAGGGACCGCAGAACATAGAGGCACTAATTGCCCTCCTGGAAAATCACCAGGTGACCGTGAGCTTGCTGAAGCCGGAAGAAAACAAAGCCACCTCCTGGAAACCAAAACAAGACCGAGAGACCCCTAAGAAACACCTCGAGGTGACTCAGGCAAGAGCCTGGAAAGCTCAAGGAAATTGGAAGGAGGAGAGGCCTCTGCGGAATCTTGTTGCGTTCCGATGTTTTACATGTGGAAGAGAAGGACACTTGGCCTGGGATTGCCCAGGCAGAGAGGAACTCATCCCCACAACGAGTGCCACTGACTCTTCAAGACTCCAGTGCCATTTTCTCACCACCTGTTGGGCCCATGAGGGGGCAGCCGCTCCTAGGTTCCCTGTCAAGATTGGAGGCAGAGACACCGAAGCCCTTGTCGACTCTGGAAGCATGGTGACCCTAGTCCGGCCAGAGTTTGCAGGGCCGGTCATGGGTAGAGAGATTTCTGTGTCCTGTATTCATGGGGACACTAGGAACTACCCCACTGCTGAAGTAAGCATGGTTACCCCTCGGGGCCAGTTCCAAGTACAAGCAGGTGTCGTGGAGTGCTTGCCCATCCCGGTCCTGGTTGGCAGAGACTGCCCGGCCTTTGCTGCCTACTGGAC